GAGCTAACACAAATTCGGGCATTTAGTTTGAATCTGTTTTAGGGGCGTTGCTTTTCCCTTACACTAATTATATTCCAATTTTCACAGCCATCAATCTTTTTTTTAAATCCTCCATTTAAAAAAACAAATTGAAATTATATTTATGTAAATTCATTTAAGACATCATGGTCAATTGATATTTCCCTAATAAACCTAAAAAACTAAGGGCCTGTCCCACCAAATTGTAAACTGTGTAATAACAATCCAACATGTAAAATATGTGATGGAAATATCGGATTTTGTTCCCTTATTACAGTGGCGTCATTTTTTAGTTATTTGCCTCTAGCAGCAAGTGGTGAGACAGGCCCTAAATATTTAAAAAACTAACCTTATTATGGTTATTATTTATGTGATTATGAATCATTCAAATTTTATCATAACAGAGGACCAAATTTGGTTAAACACTCGAATATTTCATTACATTTTTTTTACATTTCATTATTTAAAAAAAATCCCTACTAAGCTCTCATTCTTATAGACTTAAAGCAACACCCCTCAATAAAAAGGCAAATTAAATCTAATTTAAATGAAGCTAGTTGTGGCTTAACATAAATAAAATCGTCAAAAACACTGCAAGCATTATCAGTTCATAGCCACTTTAACATTTAAAAATATAATTCATTTCTATTGAAAAAAACAAACTAAATAAACAATTGATTTTATAACAACATCAATCATCAACTATACTAAAGTCATAGAAAACTTTTAATTCATTACTAGCTACCAAAAATGCTATAATTCATAAAAATATCAACATTTCTAAACAAAGTCTAAATATAAAAGGAATTCATCAAATTTCTTATCTATACTAATATTACTAGCTATTGCTCGCGACTTCACCCGCGTGTAATTAAAAAAAATATCCTTTGTTACTTAGTGATAATGTAGCTTTTTAATGGAGAAACAATTTTTGAAATCGGATCAGTAGTTTTTGAGTTATTTCAATACATACAAAAATACAAATCTTTCCTCTTTACAATATTAGTAAAGAAAAGGAGAAAAGATTTGTATTTTTGTATGTATATAACTCAACTACTGAGTCAATTTCCAAAATTCTTTCACCATTAAAAAGCAAACATAGCTTCAGTAAGCATAGGCTATATTTTTTTAGCAACAGCTAATGGAAATATATTTTGTGGCTAATGTAAATAAAATGCCAGTAAAAAGGATTATAGGTGTCATGCCAGCATTTACGCCAGCTACTGGCACAAGGATTTTTTTAAATGGCAGTAAAATTTTCAGGAAATGACTTTATAACTCTGTGCTCGCCCTCGAACTCTCCCTAATAGTTAAATGCCAGTTACTGGCATGCCAGTTATCCACACATGACAGTAATCACACCTGCTAAAAGTGTACAAGCTTTTAGCCTGTATTCTCTTATTAATGTGAAAGTTTGGATGGATGGATGTTTGTATCTCCAGAACATATATGGCTGAAATTCTGTACATAGAACATAAACATTTTTTTTTATTTCGCACGGTTTAAATAGATTATAAATAGTTAACAGTTTTGTGTGAGAAGAAATTATTGTCTCAAACAGAGATATTCAAAAACTATATAGAGGAGGCATAGTTGACATTTCACTTAAAACATTTTTCGCATAATCTTACTAACTTTTAATATATCTTCAAAATCACATGTCAATATAAATAATTTTATTTAAATTAATTGCCAATAACTTTTATTAAAAAACATTTAATTGTTTATATTTTATTTTGTAACAATAATTATTATTATGTCAAAGACACGAGGTGGCACTAAACTTGAAAACTGATATAGTACCTTTCAAAAAAAGTACCGGTAAAAATTTATTCCCTATACCTGGTCTATATATTTTAATATCTTTGGTCTTTAATGTTTAATACGAATTAACTAGAAGTCTCCGTTTAGAAATGTTCAATTTTAAATCAGAATATTGTATATAAAAATCTTTAGTATAGTCGATGATTTTTTTATCTTATTATCGATTTAAAAACAATGAGTGGAAACCAATTTAAGATATCGCGTTGGTAGAACAAATTCATGTTTTCAGTTCCCTTCGCGAATGAGGTAAACAGTTTCTAATTATGGCAACAATGGACAGAGTATAGCAACATTATACGCTTTTATATATGAAAAAAATTAGAAACAATAAACAATTAACTATCTACTAAATAATACCACTAACAAACTAAATATATTGTGCTACCAAACATACAAGAATTGTATTAAAAAATTTTCAACTACCCTAATTATGTCTAAGTGCGAATTAATTGTACTGAAAACCATTTTTTTTAATGGAAGCATTTATATTATGGGGTTGGTTTTAGTCAGTGGGATAAGTTATAGCTTTATGAAGGTAACTTAACCTTTTGAAGCACGATTACATCGAAATTACAACTTTAAAAGCTTATCCTTCATTTAATTAGATCGTAGCATTAGACAGAGAAAGGGACAAATCGCAAAATACCCTTTACTTGTCCCCTCCCCTGCTAAACTCAATTGTTTTCCTAATTGAAGTAAAAGAAAAGTGGACTTAATTTTTCAAACTTCTACATATTGAACCCTTTTTTTCTCCAATTTTCTTTAAATATTATATAGGGTTGTTTCATTACTTTATCGATATTGTTTATAATTAGTTACAATTTCGATGTAAAAATTATCTGGATTAACTTTTTAATACCGGGTAATTAAGTATTAGGCCCGATTAATACGAATTCTAAGCACATTACACAAACATTGTACTATATATAAAATTCAATCTACACGTTGCATATAAAAATATGATATATAACGATATGATAATATCGCAATATAATTCAACCCCAAAATTTAAAACAACTCGTTATTCACCAAAAGTCGAAGAGAGAAAACTTAATATAACGTCAAACTAAAAATCTATAAGAAATAATCAACTATTGCAAAACAACAACTTTTTTTAAATATTTGTACACAACATTGCATAGGTTTTTAAAATGCATGTATAAATAAAGCTTACGGCCTTTATTATTCTAAATAAGGCCTTGTCAAGCGTTGGATAATCGAAAAATTGTCACTTAAACCTAAAATAACTATGGAAGGCTAATGTTATATTTTGGTTAAATCCCGTCATTAACGGAAAATTATTTGTGCAATGTATGGAAAAAACGGCATTTCCCCTGCAGATATTTATATTAAAACGTATTACAACTACTGAGAATATAAAGGACGACAGTAATTGCATAATACAATGGAAACGCACTTTTATAACCTAATAAGGAGTCCATTTTTACGTGAGAAAACGTCCCCTCCCCTTCCGATAACAATCACATCACTATAAAATTCTAAAACATCTATATCGGGCTAAATATCTCTAAAATACTTCGTTTATTTATTTTCCTAACAGACATACAACATGAATAAACTTATTCAATATATCTCTCTATAACGCGGATGTTTCCGCGTTATAGGAATCCTTCTTATTAGTTTCTTAACAATACAAAGCCCTAAATCGCATGATAGAGGGTTTCTTCTAAAAATGTTAGGAATATTGGCGTTATATGCAGGATTTCAGCGTTATATGGGGTTCGAAAATCGCGTTATAGAGAGGGGTTACTAAAATCTGTGTTTTTTCAATACGCTAGTTTTAAGATATAGGGGGGGAAGTCTAAAAACTTTTTTTATATAATACTAAAAAGGGGAGGGAGTTTAAAATTGCTATAAAACCACGTATTTAAAGACTCTAAGCTGAAAATTACAATTCTAATACACACATTTATAAAGATCATCGCTCATTGTCAAATAGTTTCTGATTCGCCGATTTGGCGACACGTACGTCATCAACGAGTTACCTAACGTTTCCATGAATGGATATAAATTTTATTTGTAATACTTACTTTATATAAATTTTTTATTTTTTGTAGAAATTCTGTTATACCGGTTTTTATTACGAATTCAGATTGTTTTGTTAATACACCGTTTAAAAAATTAAGGAACTGTTAAGAAATATACAAACAATTATTTCGCTTAGTTAATACGTTTTAAACCAACCGTATCATTATATCCGATGTCTTGTATTGAATCCCTTACAAACTCATACAAAACCATCAGAAACATATTAATAAATAGTGTACTTAAAATACTAATAGTTTATAACTTCTAAATAATCAATTCAAACATTTTGCACGAAACTCGTATTAAAATATTGTTAAGCTGGATTTCCACTGGTCGCCAGTTACAGTGGAAACCGACACTTAGAATCACATTTCATTAAAAAAAAGTGTTCATTGCGAACGAAATGTTTGACTAGACAGATAAAAAAGGAGTTTTAATATATTTTTTTCTAAATAAAAAATCAATTCATTTAGTGTTCAAATAAAATATTGCACGCATTTCGTTCACAACGAGTTTTTTTTTATTTTATTTATTTTGGCAATTTCTAGCCAATAATTGAAATATTTAAAACCGTAACAATCAGCCAAGCTGTTATTTTATATGCAAGTGTTAAAAAATTCTAACATTCAGATAGATATTTAGAAAATTTGTAACTTTTTAATTATACTTTTAAACACACCTTTAATAAAATTTAAGATATTTTTGCTAAATGCATTTTTTTTTCGTTAAAAACGTGAATCATTTTAGATAATATTGATATGAATATTTAGGGATATTACAAACCCCATTTAGCAAAATCTTTATAATTTAAATGGCAACACTGAGTATAAAACATTTGAGATATGGAAGTGTTTGTTGCCATATTAAAATATAAGTTTCGCATATAAATAGAACTATAATAATTTCAATCCGTGAATAAAGTCGTTTAAATGCATAACCTCTTAATTCTTTGCATTTTTTGTACAAAATTGTTTTTTTATCCGCAAGCATTTAATATGTGAATGAAATCTGGCAACATTGGTTTAAATTAACACATTTTAATTCTTAATGTTGCAAAAACTCGATATTCTTGAAATTTCAATTAAAACAAACAACATTACTAACATTTTTTTTAAACAATTTTAAGCCAAATAATGTGTTCATTAAAATTATGTTCCATTTTTCATTAGAAACATGTTTCTAAGTAAATATAGGCTGAGTAGAAACACTAAAATTTGTTATTAGTACGTTACAGAAAGCATTTTTTTTACCAGATATCATTCACATATAATTAATTACTTTGAGCATGTTTTGGCATACGTAGCGTTAGTTTAGCAAAAGTCAATTTTGGCGTTAGAAACATGTTTCATAACATTTGAAACATGTTCTCTCGAGTAAAAATTTTACAATATCCTTAAAAAGCACAAATTAAATCATTGCAATTTCATTGTCAATTTAGAAACAAAATTTTAATGCCCAATTTACCCAATTTTTTTAATGTAACATTCACATATAATACGTATAGTAGTTAAATTTCCCGAAAAATAGGTTTTTTAGTTAATAGGTCCTGTAGCTAGATAATGGTAGGGATGTCTATTGTGTACAAATCTATTATCGTACCTATTTTTTTGATAAAAATCGTTTCTTCCTTGATTCACTTTGTGTCTGTAGTTTTGACTGCGGCGAGGCTGATTCTTTTCCTTGTCTGCTTGTTTGTTTGTCTGTTTGACTTCGGGTTTAGCTTCGCTCTTTGGTTGGTTGGATGTAGATGGTTCCGGTTTCGGTGAGTTCTTCTCCTGTTGGAAATTAATATTAAATTTTAATAAATTTCCATTTTATACAAAACTAGCTGTTGCTCGCGACTTCGCCCGCGTATAGTTAAAAAAATATAGCCTATGTTACTCACAGATAACGTAGCTTTTTAATGGTTAGAGAATGTTTTAAATTGGTCCAGTAGTTTTTGAGTTATTTCAATACATACAAAAATACAAATCTTTCCTCTTTATAATATTAGTACATATTAGCGTTTCTTCCATGCACTAATGTTAAAACGTTTTTTTTTAATATTTCTTATTTTTACGATTTTTATTAATTCATTTAAACAAAAAAAACAATGCCATAAAGAGATATAAAGATTTCTCTTACTAAATATACAGTAAGAGGTTTCCTAAATGAACAATTAACATCTCTGAGTGCTGTAAATCTTACCTCTTTAGTTTCAGCGGTAATATTCTTGCTGGAATGAGGCTGAGTATTGTCTACGGGTTGCTTCGGCGACTGCGACTGAGATGTGCTTTGAATTTGGTTCTCATTCTGGAAATATACGATATTTAGTTAAATTCAATAAACATTGTATGCATTATATTTATTGTATGCAGAATTAAAGTAAAAACAACATTTTTTATATATCATAAGATGGCAAACGAGCAAACGACCACCTGAATCCGAGAAACTGGCAAAGCGACCGCTGCCCATAGACATTCGCATAGCGGATGCGTTGCCTACCCTTAATCGACGGAGGAATTTCATATAAAGAGGATTCTTTCTTCGATTCTTTGAGGAAGTTCCCCTTCCT